TTGACATACTAAAGATTATGAAGTAGGTCCATTTTTTTAATAACAGCATAAGTCTGAAGACAATTAGCTTTTTACATTATATACTATATAACTTTGTAATTACACTATGTACAAATTCTTCAACTGATGGTCATCCAACTTATACTGCCTTCTCAGGTTTAGGAACAAATTATCATATCCCTATGAGTTAACTGATTTAGAGTCAGTATTTAATGCCTGCTCTTTTAAAACAATGGTTAATAAATTGATGAGGTATTAGATTATTTTTGAGAATTTTAATAAGGAGCAAAATTTCGTGTTGTAGATCTATCGTATCTGTGCAGATATTTTTAATATGTTGTGTTTGATTTATTATTGTATTACTAATTACTTTTGGAGATGTTGAAATTCCAATTTATTAATTTGTTAGTATTCAAACTGAAGTTTCTTGTTTTGGGAAACGGTAAAATTTTTTTGTAATTAATGATTTGAACATCTAACTAAACTGTCGCAAGTTCATTTGGATTGGCATACTTTATATTTAACCATAATTTTTCTAAACTGTGTTCTCTGCGAAAAAAATAATTATCATCCTTTTTGATTTTTGCTTTATTCCCCATGAAATTTCTTGTTTGTTATTTTTTTTATTATTATTATTTATAAACAAAACAGTACTTACGAACTATATCAGTTATCAAGCATTTTCTTTCTCTGCATTAAATTTTCATGTTTTTATAAGACAGTGATTAACTATTTTGTAATTTTTGGTTTATTTTTTCTGAATTGTTAAGATCTGGTTCAAGGCCGTCAAGTAATGTGCCAGCTCGGGCTCCTCCTCAGCAGCCTGCTCCAGCTGCCCAAGCTCCTCCTCCCATGGCTGCTCCTCAACAACCTGGAATGTTTGCCCAAATGGCATCAACAGCTGCTGGTGTGGCTATAGGTTCTGCAGTGGTATGTATTTATTTATTATTACTATTTCAAAATGTGATACCCTTGGAGAATTTTAATGGAAATTTTTTTTTCCAGTTGTGGCATGAGCAGTGGACAAAACAATTTATATTTTAAGTCAGTAATCACCTAATTATTGACACAAATGAAAATAAGGCAGAAAATTTATACTTACATTATTTCATCAGCTGACTGTGGCGTGTAGAATAGTATAATTGATAAAGTCCCAGCTTGATATCATTGCTTTATCTAGGATGTCGGTCTGAATTTTGAAACCGTAAATGCCACTGAATGAATAATTGAAAAAAGAATTAAACCTTAAAAAGACAGTCGTTCTCCTTCTAGCTATTGGGTATAAGCATTGTAGCGATTTGAGAACAGTCAGATTTTTATTTTGGGTAGCGTAAATAAAATATTTATTTAACTGAAGGATATGTGCTAAATTACACAAGTTGAATTTTAAGGTAAGTTCAACTGCTTATCATAACAAAAGTATTTTGCTTAGCAAAATAGTCCATTTACATAGGAAACGATAATCACTTGAGTTCAAACAAAGTCGAAAAAGGTAGCGGAGAAAAAGTCCGGCTACGCTTCTTTGAGAGTTTTTTCCCCCCGCTCTTGACAGAGCTTAGTAGCGACTCGGGACAAGCCATAAAAAAACACAAGAGAGAAAGGGCTCTCTAAAGCTTACTAGCGACTCTGGACAAGCCGTAAAATACAAGAGAAAGGCTCTCTTCTGTACGCAACGACTACGTATTCTTCAGACTAATCTCTCTAATTATTTTCCACTCACTGTTTTTATGTCTAGGTTTTCTTGGCGTGTCTTGTGCGTCTGCTGCAGTGATTCGCTAAACGTCTTTTTCGGAGCATCTCTCCATTGGTTAACAGGCGCTGATTTGTTCTCAGATACTGTCTTGACAGCCTGAGAAACTGAAATTTTCGTGGGAAATTCAGAATGCCTTTTTGGGAGGTCTATCTAAGTTATTTCGAGAAACAGGCAGTTGGCGACAGTCTGTCGCATACACAATAGACACTCCACAACCCGTGAGAACTTGCATGAAAGTTTTCTCCTTTCGTAAAAACAATATGCTTTCCGCACTTTGTTGGGGGGTCACGTTCGACCTCAAGAATTCGTAAGTGTCATCAGGGTGGTCATCTGGCGCCCATTTGAAGTCTCCTTTTCCCAGACTTCGTGGGAATCCGTGGGAAAATAGCTGACGACGTTACAGCATCTTATACGTGTAAAATATTTCTTATCAAATACAATAAATATCTTTCATTCGATCTTCCACTGCCTCAAAAATACACTTGTTTTTTGATACCACCAAACATCATTTTCCATTAACTCTTTTTTACCTCTAATATATTGCCTCTTATGAAACATGCTGTCATATCTCCACAGATGATGAGTATTTGCACCTTTCTTATGGATACTCACTTGTAGCTGCCCAATTTATCCTTATGTTCAATCAATGCATATCTTTCATACAGATTAGATATTCATGCCTGAAACTAACTAAAACCCTCATTCATACATGAGTTATTAGCAACTTTGTTGCCTTAGAGATCTGACTGATGAAAAAATGTGGTATGCAGCTTGCGAATCATGATTTTGACGTAAGGAATGTAAGTTAAAAAAACATAAGGTGACCACCAGTCCTCAGTGGTGCAATAGGGTGAGGAAACAGGTGTTCAAAATACCTGCACAAAACAAAAACATAATAGAATTGTGGAGTTTCATCATTAATATTTTTTAATTCTCTTTTGTTTTAACGTCTTTTATATAGAAGTGTTTTTATTTAGCTATTTTAAAAACACTGAGTTTGAAAGACGTATATAAATTTTGATTCTTCTGGAGGTTTTAGAGAAAAAATTCAAAATATTGTGAATTTTTTCTAAAGGTGACTCTGGACAATTACTTAATCATTTCATGTTATGTGTAATATGTACACTCTAAGACACAAAAAAAAAAAAAAAAAGAAAGAAAGAAAGAAAGATGCACCGAGGAGATATAAAGAATATTGGACACAATTAGATATGCATACAGGTTTCGATGGAAAATTCAAAATTTAACATTTTGCCTGCAATGGATGAACGGTTGTCACTACAGTGCATCTGATCTGCACAACTGGCAGGATATTTAAGAGGAGAAATTACGATTTCAAGTCATAAATTCTTAACGAATTTCATTCCTTGTACTCTGGTACACAGAAACTATGCCTCACATACAGGTGTGCGAACGATATGTGCTGATGTCAGAATTTGAAAGAGTTCGTGTAGTTGGTCTCAAAGAAGCCGGTTTTTTTTTTTATCGGCGAATAGCTCAACATTTGAGTAGTAGCGATGCCACTATTAGATGATGTTGGCATGAATGGGTGAACCGTGGCCGCACACAGTGTCAAGAAGGAAGCGGTAGGCCTAAAGAAACGACAGAACGTGAAGACCGAGCAATCGTCAGAGTGGCACTCACAACCCCAGATGCATCATTATCATCGATTGTACGTGCAACTAGTGCTTCAGTGACCACAAGGACCATGCATAGATGGCTCGCAGAAAGGGGGCTGAGGTCAGGCCGTCCCTTGCGCCGACTACCATTGACCTCTGTACAACGTCAAGCCGTCTGCAATGGTGTCGGGCTCCGCATTGGAATGTCACTGACTGGAGTAGAATAGTCTTCAGTGATGAGTCCCGCTTTGAACTGAGCCCCGAAGAGCAGCGAAGGCGAGTCTGGAGACGCCCCAGACAGCGGTGTAATACCAACTTGACTGTCTTCCGGCAGACAGGCCGAACCAAGAGTGATGGTCTGGGGTGCCATTTCATTTCATAGTAGGACCCCTTTGGTTGTCATCTGTAGCAACCTTAAGCACAGCGGAACGTCGAAGTTCTAAGGCCCATTGTGTTGACCTTCATGTCACGCCACCTGTGGTTACATTTCAGCAAGCTAATGCCCACCCTCACACGGTACATGTTTCTACTAGTTGCCGAACGTTACCTTGGCCTTGATCTCTCTTCTATTGAGTACGCTTGGAGCATTATGTGCAGGGCCCTTCAACCAGCTTGGGATGTTGACGATCTAACGCGCCAGTTGGACAGAATTTGGCACAATATCCCTCAGAAAAACATCCGCAATCTCTATCAATCAATGCCAAGCCGAATAACTGCTTGCATAAGGGCCAGAGGTGAACAAACGCGTTACTGACTTTTTCACTCTGTGAAGTTCTATCACTTCAATAAATCATCCAATTTTTCTCAAACTGTAATCTCTCTCTCTCTCCTCTCTTTTTTTTTTTTTTTTTTTTTTTTTTTTTTTTTTTTTTTGTCTAAGATTATATATATATATGGATGCACCAACTGTTTAAAATATTCTGTCTTGTGATGTATCAGTTAAAAATTTAATTACATTCTCTTTCTCTCTCTCCCCCTTTTTTCCCCGTATTTTTGAGTAATATTGATATATTATTTATATATTCCATTTTAATTGCATGGAATTATACTGGAGGTAAGTGTATGAAAATTACAAATTAAACAAGTTTATTACATGTCTTACAAGAAACAGATATGAATTTAAATTTACAAAATAGTATGCTTTCATATCTCTAATTCAGTTAATAGAATTCTACTTTTTTAAATTCATTTCAGTAAGATTGATTTCTGTACAGTAATTTCTCGTTAGATAATATACGTATAATTCAGTTAATAGAATTCTACTTTTTTAAATTCATTTCAGTAAGATTGATTTCTGTACAGTAATTTCTCTTGTTAGATAATATACGTATTTCTTATTATATAATGTGAAAGACCCAAAAATAAATTCAAGGACTTTTTGAATGCAAATGAAAAAATATATATCATTTTATTTTATGTTGCACACATAATAGGCATTCAGTGAAATTCTGGTACTTATGCATTAGCATAGCAGTTTTGGTACTTTCTTGCAGAAGAAAAAGAATAACTTAGAATTGCAAAAATTACTGCTTATAATATTTTGCATTTTAATCAAATATTTATGTGAAAGAGTCGATCAATAAATTTACATACTCTCTCTGTAGTTTAGGTGATCTCTGTAGTTTTTCATTTTAGCAATTTTTCCAGCAAAGTACTGTATTAATGGTGAAATTTTATTTCAATTATTGAGTCATGGCAAGGCAGAAGGCTAAGGAATGATATACACCTAATGAAGTATCAGGTTCATTAAACTTCATAGGTAGTCAGTGAGTGTTGAGTTATTATAATGTAGGTGATCAAAGTAATGTAAGTTTATGACTCGGCAAAAATTGAATTTGCGTGCTGGTTGGGTTTTCGGCAAATTTGTTCACGGGTTGTTAGAAAATAAAACTTGATCACCAGGTTTAAATTGGTATCCAGGTCGTTGCCCTGTATCAGTATATTATTTTCGATTCTCTTGTTTATTTTCAGCAAGTTCTTTTACCTGGTTGACTGTTATGGGATAATTCCTGTTACAAAATTATCATTGGAGATAACCGTGCATAAGATCATGTGTAACATCATCTGGCAGCTAGCTGTCTTCCAGATTGGAGGTATGTGGCAGTTTTGCATTTATGATTGTTCATTGCAAAACAAATTGTTGAAATCTGCCCAAGAAGAATGTTTATCAGCCACAAACATGGCCAACCTGGGCTTCAAATCCCTGTTTTTTCACTCTACAGGATTTGCTTGACAGGGATACCCTGGAGTTAACGCTCGATCAATATTATAAGAAAACACTGTTGCTGCAATGCAGCGTTAATGAATTGAATTCTGTTATCATTGATCATCTTTGAGGTTATCCATATCTTAAGAAAACCTATTAATGTAATTGCACATTCCTTTGCAGTAGCTAAAGTGAAAAACTCCACCCATTTCATATTCCATTTTTTCCTCATTGGTACTTGACCAAATAAATTGGTAGCAAACGTTTCGAAGTGTTGGCCATAAACTGGTGTTTAGAGCAACCGGAGTGGTTTCTGGTTTGAAGGTTTGTGGCGATTACACTCAATATACTT